ACTAAAATGTGAACATTAACTAAATGCAATGTGAAAACAAAGAATGCCACATAGGATCTCCTTTCTGTCACCTGTCATTCAACCGAAACATGACAGGCCATCATTGGCTGTAGTCTGTATGTTTGTCATGAAAATAGTTCGAGAGCAATGTAACATACTTCTAGGCAAAAAGAGAGAAGCAATTTTTTTGAAAAGGTCTAATCCATATACAAGTATGCTTGAAACAAAAATAAATCTAAGGACAAGACACACGGCTGGGGGTATGTACCAGACTACTGGTCATGCATACAACCAAGTTATGATTTAGGAAATCAATAGCGTATTAAGTAAACAACTGCGAATAAACATTAGATCCATCATACACACTAAAAACATTTGATTAGTTTCATCAATCACTCCTGACAAACTAACCGCAACGCACAGAAACAGCCTACTGGATCCGGCAACGTCGCACTATAAATTGGCGGGAACGACAGGTGTAGTTTAACTTTTCCTCCGGTAGATAGCGCATCAATCCAATGCGCGCATCGAAATTCAAGATGGCCGCGGCCGCAAACCCACCTCTCGTCGATCAGCTGACTCCGCCTGAGCACGTGAGCGCCATCCCCCCGCCCCCCTCTAAACCAAACACAAAAAACGTTGTCATGGTTACGGCAGCGCGGCGGCCATCATTGTTGGAGCGGCGTTGCCCGCTCTGCGCGAGTTGTCGGACGTCTAGGTACAGAGCAGTGCAGTGCGAAAATGTGGAATAAAAAAAAGGGTTTAGATGCTAATGAGCTGAGGCGTTGAAGTTTGTCAATTAGATGGAATGTATGGTAAAATATCAGTGTATTGTGTATAATTTTCAGAAATGGCATCTATTGGACTTTCATATAAAATTTTCTCTTGCTGAAATACATAATAAATAGGATATATATACATTTGTGGAAAATGTTTTCATCTCAACTCATTGTTTCCGATACTGAAAGAATCTTCACAGAAAAATGAGTTGTTCCATTACGAAATACTTCAGATTCCTTCAAGAAATACCTCTATACGTCCTGTTTACTTTTATGTCCCAGATGTTTGTGTTTTTTTTCTGCATTATCTACGATATAGCTTCAGGCATTCACGTTGTCAAGGATATATAGCGTCTGTAAATAATTTGTTTTTTTTAGATTGTTTATCTCCTGAAACAAAAAGTGAATATGTTTAGTAGAAACTGCGCATTAATCCATTTTGACCAGTCATTCTTATTACACAGAAATCTGAATTTGATGTAAATTTGCATTGACAGGTGAAACCGTACAGGTACAACATTTTTTCAATTTATGCATTTGTTCAAACATGAGCAATCTACATCGTCTACACCGAAAAGCGGTCCTAGATTAAGTTAATAATGCTAATGATTTCAAGCTAAACCAGACCTAAAGAATGTCACTAGTTAGTGAGATACAGTATCTAAGTTTCATACTCGAAATCGTTATTTCTCAATATAATAATATATTTATTTACTTTAAATACATTGAAATGAAACAGTAAATAAATATAATATATCCATAGGAGGACAACGCCTGTGCATGGATCATATGTATGTTGAATTGCCAAAAATAAGAAAAATAAGCGAAAAAAAATTATTGGAAGAATGATGAGCATATATTGTGTAATATTTGATATTATTCTATTAATGTGATTTTTCCCAATCGTAATAAATTTTTTTTTTTTTATACCTAGTGTATTGCGTATTGTTTTACATTATTTGGTAAAAGTTCGTACAATTTTGGAGCCAAATACAGGTGACATCGTTTCATTAAAGATTTGTTTGGTTTAGGAACATTTTTGCGCGTAATTATATCTGTGTGTTATGACTATGTTAATATGTCGCGTTCACTAATAATTTTTTGGATAATGAGTGATCTTATGTCAGAAGTAAAGTTGTTTAGTATCATCTACTTGTGCATGATTATAGTCTAAGTCATTCGTTGGGTATAATTTTGATTTGGCAACATTGATTTTAAAATTGTTCTTTGAAGCACATCTATATGGTTAGGTATGTCGTGCATGCAGCACCCGATACTACTATACCATATGTTATGTGCGGCTCGACTAGAGCTTGATATATTATTCGTAGATAATATTCAGTTAATATCCGGTTAGAATTGTTTTTATATGCTATGAATCTAATTTTCTTTAGTATGTAAAAAATATGTAAATCTCATCTCAAGAGGGAATCTAGAAATTCCTAAATATTTTGTAGCATTAACTCTATTGATTTTTGGATTTCATCATTTACCTTAAAGCGAAGGTGGTTATATTTTGGTAGATGATTGATAGTGATGGAAATGGTAAAAAATGAGTTTTTAGTGAAGTTAGTTGTTAATTTTCAGTTATTAAACTACTGAATAATTTTGCAAAAGTCATTTTGGATAACATCTTTTAAGGCGTTCCAGTATTTCGTGTCGTGTCGTCTGCAAAACTGACTATTTTACCAGTACTATTAATTTTGAATACATCGTTTAAATAAATATTGTATAACAGAGTACCCAAATTGTACCTTGTGGTCCACCACATTTAACAAACATTTCTTTACTATATGAGTTTAATAATTTTACTGATTGCGGTCTATTTGATAAATATTTTCCTTTAAAAGTATATATCTTCCTCGAAAACCTATTCTTTCTAAGATTTCCAAAAGTATATTGTGGTTAACTGTGTCAAACGCTTTTTGTAGATCTACAAATACGCATATGGATGGTACTTTTCCATCCATATTTTGGGTAATTTCATCTACTATACTTAATACCCCATCTGTTGTAGATTTGCTTGTGCTTTTATATCGAATTAGAAATCGGACTGTTTTACCGCCCTAGGGCATAAAGGAGTCCATGGGATGAAAAGTGGGACTTGATGCCCTAAAAACTACTAATAAAAGTTACATCTTTTCGGCAGTTATAGATAAAACTTTTTTAGCAGATGCGGTCTTGTTGCTGCTCCAGTATGAAAAGGGTGCTTTATTGACCAAAATCAGAGAAAACCATGGCAATAATAGATAATTTTTATGCACATTATCCACATGTTCACAAAGTTAATTTGTTGTCAAAATACGTGAAAAGTACGTTGCTGGAATCGCATGTGACATCAAAATCTATGTCTATATAAATTGTATGTTGATCGTTGAATATTAAAACAACTGCAAGAGTCTTACTGGAATCTAAGATATGTCAGTACCATGAAAAATTCGTCTAAAACATTCTGAATTTTGAATGGAACCGATAAATTACTCTTGCAGATACAGTTATAGTGATATCGGCTGCAAACATAGTTACGTGACAAGATATGTTTGTGTCATTTACGCATGAGATAAACAACAATGCTCCCAATACAGATCCCGAGGTACACCCTGTTCAGCAGGATATACAATGGACATCGTATCGTAATTTAAAAAAGCCTCTAATGCTTGCAGTATGTAACTTTTGCTTCAATAACATACATGTTTATTTATAATCAATATCAAATGCTTTATTTGGATAAATCGAAAGCATACACGATATTGAAATTTGTAGGTGTTATCATGACACCCTTGATTGTACATCTACCATTGCAAGCGTTAGAAAAGTATCCATCACACACAGATTTATTC